AGTGCTTTAACCACTGCAGGGCCCAGAGCTTGATAAAGGCACAATTCCTTAGGAAAGCACACGAGCCCCTAAAGAGGTGAGCCCTGACTTCCTGCAGGTCTTCTCTTACCAGTTTCTCACCTCCAGGGTTGCCAGCACGACTGCACATTCCAGAGGGCCCTCCCCAGCCTGTACCCTTGCTAACTTCTACTCGTTCTTCACCATTCCATTCAAATGTCAGCTGCCTCAGAAGATACTTGCTTAATACCCATACTCCCCGACCCCCCCGACCCCGCACCACCACAGAAGAATTCAAGTACTCCACCTCTGTGTGCCCACAGTGCAGTGGATTACAACTGAGGGTGTGGAGTTTTTGAAAAATAAACTCCTAGGCTCACCTCAAGCCTCTAAAATCAGAACCCTTAGGCGTGGGGCCTGGTCACCTGTAGTTCTGAAACAGCTTCTCAGAAGCTTCAGATGCACGCCATCCAGAGCCCCACTGCCCTGGTACTGTATCCTAGCATTTGTCACCTTGGTTTAAATGTTGGCTTGTTCGTGGTCTCTGCTAAAAGGTAAGCCAGAGAACCAAAGTCATCCTGTACTACCATCCGTATCTCTAAGACGTCCAAAACCTTGACTATTTCAAGTACTTAGTTGTGATTAGTTTTTAGTGAAGCGGACCGCTGGGCTGATTAACTTAGTAACATACACCGAAGTTACAAGGCAGAAACAAGCGAGTGGGTTTTCTTATTGTTCCTATACTTTCAGAAACTCCCAAAAGTCCAGCACACTGCTATGACTCAGACAGGCAGGAACAAACATCCCAAACCAATTGAGCTACATTACAACAGCGTCTCTTGCCTAGTCTACTGTCAGTGAACTGGCCCAGATGTGGGAAAACCGGATATTCCAGGCTAGAGGATCATCCACCCCTCGGTCTCCAGTGTTGGCGCGGCCCTCCCAGTTGGCCACGGCCGGTCTCTGCTTCTAACTGATGGATCTTAGTTCTGCACAGCCTGAGTGGCAGTATGCTCATATTATATATGCTCATAAAAACGATGCACCAGTTCCTTCAAAGTGTGAAGAACTGAAAGCAAGCGATTCTGTGTCCTGCACCATGAGCAGTTCGGAAGTTTGCTATCCCAGTTTTGCAAATCAGGAGATTTCTGC